GCTAAGTTAAATGAGTCAGAGCAAGACAGATATCATATATTTTTATTCATATGTGGAATTTGAGAAACTTAACAGAAGACCATGGGAGAAGGGAAAGGGAAAAAAATAGTTTCAAACAGAGAGGGAGGCAAACCATAAGAGACTCTTAAATACAGAGAACAAACTGAGGGTTAATGGGGGGTGAGCAGGAGGGAGGGAAAAATGGGTGGGCTTTGAGGAGGGCACTTGGTTGGGAGGAACACTGAGTGTTGCATGTAAGTGATGAATCATGGGAATCTACCCTTGAAGCCAAGAGCACACTGTACACACTATTTGTTAGTTAACTTGATAATAAGTTATATTTTAAAAAGAAGGATGGGGCACTTGGGTGGCTCAGTCGGTTAAGCATCCGACTTCAGCTCAGGTCATGATCTCACTGTCCGTGAATTCAAGCCCCACGTCGGGCTCTGTGCTGACAGCTCAGAGCCTGGAGCCTGTTTCAGATTCTGTGACTCCCTCTCTCTCTGCCCCTCCCCCACTCATGCTCTGTCTCTCTCTGTCTCACAAAAATGAATAAATGTTAAAAAAAAATTAAAAAAAAAAGGATAATGTCTAGAATATATAGTTGGGTAATTATGGGTTTTGGAGGTTACCACTGGCTAACATAAAAACTTTTTTGTTGTTTTGTTTTTTACTGAGGTATAATTTACATACAGCCTTATTTAGTTTCAGGTGTACAACATAAGAATCGATTTTTGTATGTATTGCAAAATGCTCACCCCAGTCCGTCTAGTTAACATCTGTCACCATGCATAGTTACAGAATTTTTTCTTCTTATGATGAGAACTTGTAAAATCCACTCTCTTAGCAACAATCAGATATGCAGCACAGTGTTATTAACTATAGTTGACATGCTGTACGTTACATCCCCAGGACTTACTTATTTTATAATTGGAAGTTTGTACCCATAAAGGTTTTTTGGATTGTTCTTCATGCTCCTAAGTCTTGGAAACAGAGTTTTCCTTAATCATGTTGCAGAAATTGATCCTTTAACTGAAATTTAGAAATTTAGTTAAGCATACTTTGAATTTTCTTTTTTTCTCTCTTTTTGTCTCTCTTTCTTTTGTCTTTCTTTTCCTTCCTTCCTTCCTTCCTTCCTTCCTTCCTTCCTTCCTTCCTTCCTTCCTTCCTTCCTTCCTTCCTTCCTTCCTTTGAATCTTTCTTTTGGCATGGGAGAAGCAGCCGAAGCTCTTTCCCACACAGTTGATTAAAACTTTTGTCATTTGAAGTTGCAGATTTGGTACTGCATTTTTACAAAAAGGAAGTGAAATAGTTGCTAAATAACAAATAGTTGATAAATGTTATTTCCATATGCATAGAAAATAGATTGGAAGGAAACATCCTGACAATTAGTTGTAGTTGTTTTTGGATGTTTGAAATTATGAGCAATTTTAGAAACAAAAATAAGTGGAGAAGAGAAAGAAATAATGAACACATCTCACTTTTATAGTGGGGGAGAGGTAAAATAGAATTCTTGTATCGGGTACTGAATTTGTTACCACACCAAGCCATGCACCTGCCTCTCAGATTGCTAGTCATATGTTAACAGATTCACAGGGACTCCCATGTACAAGCCAGAGTACTAGTTTAATTATTCGTAATGATAATTGATCAGATGCTATCAGATGGGCAGAATAATCATGCTTGCTGATTTATATCTCTTTCCCTAAGGCCAACCCACATGGGAAGCCTAACTCTAGTCAGCACATTGCTTGGTGAGCAAGGAACCGGAGCAGGAAAAGTGATTTGAAGGAACCAAAGGCTGGGAGGGCTGCAATGTAATAGCCTCCCGCACAGCTTTGTCTCGGTTATCGGGCTACTCTGCCACATGGACGGGGTATTTGCGCATCTCCACACCCGCCAGGGACCACCATGCTGGAGGCATGCTACCAGCATTTTCTTTTCTGAGTCTCTCTTTTCTGACCTCCCGTTGCTGACCACCCTTCATCCGTCATCAGTCAGGTTACAGTCAAACTTGGCTCCATGTTATCTGAGCTCTGACCCATCATCCGATGACTTTGTAGCTTATCCCTCTGTAAGCAACCTAATTTCCCTATTTTCAAGTTCTTGGAGGCACACTGACTGGGTGCCCAAGTGCCACTTGTCACAGACACTGACAATACAGAAATGAAGAGGACGTGAAGCAGGTTATTTATGTCACAATCCAAAGCAGCATGGTGGTACCGGCTCTGGGGGAAGAGTGAACCTAGTGGCAGAGGGAAGGATGGGGGCACACGGAGATGATGCATTTACTTTGAGGCATTATGTATTTATCAGACCTCTCAGTGGAGTTATCTGGCCAGCATTTGGGTATTCAAATCTAAAGCTAAAAGAGAGGGGTGCCTGTGTGAGTCAGTTAAGCATCCAACTTTTGATTTTGGCTCAGGTCATGATCTCCCGGTTCATGAGTTTGAGCCCTGCATTGGGCTCCGTGCTAAGCATGGAGCCTGCTTGGGATTCTCTGTCCCTCTCCCTCTGCCCCTCCCCTGCCTCATATGCATTTGTTCTCTCTCTCTCTCTCTCTCTCTCTCTCTCTCTCTCTCTTTCTCTTTCTCTCTCTCTCTCTCTTTCTCGTTGTCTCTGTCTCAAAAACATTTAAAAAACAAAAATAAATAAATAAATAAAGCTCAGAGAGAGAACAGGTCTGAAGAGAGAGCAAGAGTCAGCTCAGGATCCACATAACCAGCTGCCTGTGAGACATTGTCACCTGGGTGTGCCACACAACCTCTCAGCATGTCCAAAAATGGATTAATCAACAAACCCCTTACACACACACATATCCCAAGTGGGGAGAATCCTGCCCATACTTCTCATATTGCTTATCTAAGTGCTCTTCTACCCAAGTGTTCACATCAAATACCTGGGTATTGGCCTTCACCCCATCTGCCCTACTAGGACTCACCACATTGATTTCCTCCTTGGCTCTGTAACATTTGTCACCTAAATACTACCAAATCCATACATTTTCCTACAGCTTCACTGCCACTACTCCGATTCAACCCTCCATCATCTCCCCACTGGATTACCTGATCAATCCCCATTACTGCTTTTCCTGCCTTCTTTCTTGCCCCTCTAATCCATTTTCCACTGGACAGCCTGATTAATCTTTCTGAAATGGAAATCTGATCATGTCCCTATTCTCCAGGGTCCTTAACATAACTATCTAAACTCCTTAGTTATCACACAAAGACTTTATAATCTGCTCTCTCTTCTCAGCTGCAGCCTTTTGTAATTTCTATTCTTCTGGGGCCTTTCAGGGGCCAAATATTTGCTAACTGAATGAAGGAATGCTTATAGCACTTTAACACATGATTAATCTGAGAAACATCTGGGCATTAGCTATCTTACATTACCATTTTCCATGAGTGGGGAAAAAATCTGCTTTGTGTGATATCTACCCATGCACTTCATTTAACGAATGTTCAGCTCCTTAAAAAAAATGCTCTTCTTGATCCCAGGATGATCTATGTCCTTTCCTCTACTATTAACTTGTTTCCACAATACTATGTGCCTGGTCACGTATAGAAAAATATATATATATTTCCTGAATTCTTTTGAATCCCTAAGCTCTTAAAGAGAAATATTTGTCCCCAGGACTTCTTGACTATTGGGAAGAAAATGAATGTATATTGATTGTTTTATTATAATACTGCAGAGCCTTAACTTTATATACAAGATAATGTACATGGACCACAGCCAGACTGCCCAGCCTTAGCTATTCCTCACACATATGAGAATGTAGGTCTTTCTCAGGGCCCACTGTCATTGTAGAATTGTTTTACATTCTACATGGACCATTCATTCTAGAAGGAAATGGGTATTGGACCATTTTTATCATGGATTAGCTTGGGAGGGATTAGAAATTCAAGAGAAATGGGCTGTTTATAGCTTTTTGTAGGATAAACATGAATGTTATCTTAACAAATGTTCAAACAGTACATAAGCATGCAACACGAATTTGGCTTAAGAAGGCATTTGTCTCCTCTAACATAATTAGGTGTGATTAGCTTTTTAAAGAGAAATCATGTGGAAGACTTTGATTTACTCTTTTTTTTTTTTCTATCAAGCTTAGGAAGGTGGCTTTCATGTGCCATGATGATTTAACCATCAGCTCTTTTACAGTCAATAAGAACTGGAAACCAGTTGCAGTGGGAAAATGTGAATCAGGAAAAGACTTTACTTTTAATTTGCCATCTTTATAGACTTGCTCAGTGTGCAAAGCAAAACCATCATTCTTCATTTATATATACAGTAGTTCTATCATTGTTCTCCATAAATATATTAATCCTCCTCAACTTTAATTTTTAAAACAACAGCAAGAAAGCCTGAAACCTTAAAGGCAAAGACTGATTGATTTTATTATCTACAAATTTAAAACTTTTACATGGCAAGAAAAAAGCTAAAACCACATTAAAAAATAAATTTCATACTTGCCAAATGCACTCTGTATGACAAACTAAAAAATGTGTGAAAGAAAACAAGTTTACAGATTAAAAATAGAACTACCCTACAACCCAGCAATTGCACTACTAGGTATTTATCCAAGGGATACAGGTGTGCTGTTTTGAAGGGACACATGCACCCCAATGTTTATAGCAGCACTATCAACAATAGCCAAAGTATGGAAAGAGCCCAAATGTCCATTGATGGATGAATGGATAAAGAGGATGTGGTATATATATA